GAGGAAGAATAAAAAAATGATGTTGTGTTTTCTAGTCCATAGATCAAAATTTGTCCCTGAGCACTTCCAATGTGTCCTGGCTTTCTGCTTCCCATTGGGTGAAGGGGTGTTGGTGGGTGAAAGCACGGAGACTAATCCTCTCTCGGTGCATGGCGCGTGTGTGTGTGGATGTGTACTTGCACATGGTGTAGGAGTGAAAAAGGGGCCGAAGAGAAGATAACCTAAAGTGGTGAATATACTGGAGCCCATGGCCATTTCAAAGTCTGGGTCATGGATGATGGCATTCAGCTTGTACATAAGTGGCTATCGCAGATGAATGAAAATTTTCTTAGTGATATAATGATAGATATTCTGCCTACATAAATATCATGAAAATTACCAGCTTCTCAGATTATTTGCTCAGCATACAGATTGAACGAGTATGTGGAAGGACAAAACTCTGACTCACACTTTTTCTGGCTTTAAACCATGAAGTATCCCCTCGTTCTGTTCAAACAATTGCCTCTTGATCTATGTACAGGTTCCTCATGTGCACAATCAAGTGTTCTGGAATTCCCATTCTTCACAGTGTTATCCATAATTTGTTATGATCCACGTAGTCGAATGCCTTTGCATAGTCAATAAAACACAGGTAAATATTTTCCTGGTATTCTCTGCTTTCAGCCAAGATCCGTCTGACATCAACAACGATATCCCTGGTTCCACATCCTCTTCTGAACCCAGCCTGAATTTCTGCAGTTCCCTGTCGATGCACTGCTGCAGCCGCTTTTGAATAATCTTCAGCAAAATTTTACTTGTGTGTGATATTAATGATATTATTTGATACTTCCCACATTCAGTTGGATCACCTTTCTTGGGAATAGGTGTAAATATGGAACTCTTCCCGTTGATTGGCCAGGTAGCTGTCTTCCAAATTTCTTGGCATAAACGAGTGAGCACTTCCAGTACTGCATCCATTTGTTGAACCATCTCAACTGGTATTCCATCCATTCCTGGAGTCTTGTTTATCGCCAATGCCTGCAGTGCAGCTTGGACTTCTTTCTTCAGTACCATCAGTTCCTGATCATATGCTACCTCCTGAAATGATTGAATATTGACCAATTCTTTTTAGTATAGTGCATTCTCTGTGTATTCCTTCTATCTTCTTTTGATGCTTCCTGCATCATTTAATATTTTCCCTGTAGAATCCTTCACTATTGCAGCTTGAGGCTTGAATTTTGTCTTCAGTTCTTTCAGCTTGAGAAATGCCAGGTGTGTTCTTCCTTTTCAATTTCCTAAATCCAGGTCTTTGCACATTTCATTATAATACTTCACTTTGTCTTCTCGAGCCGCCTTTTGAAATCTTCTGTTCAGCTCTTTGACCTCATCGGTTCTTCCTTTTGCTTTAGCTACTTGACATTCAAGAGTAAGTTTCAGAGTATCTTCGGGCATCCATTTTGGTCTTTTCTTTATTTCCTGTCTTTTTAATGACCTCTTGCTTTCTTCATGTATGATGTCCTTGATGTCATTCCACTACTCATCTGGTCTTTGGTCTTTGGTTGTTAGTTTTCAATGTGTCAAATCTATTTTTGAGATGATCTCTAAATTCAGGTGGTATAAACTCAAGGTTGTACTTTGGCTCTGGTGGACTTGTTATAATTTTCTTCAGTTTCAACTTGAAGTCAGATATGAGCAATTGATGGTCTGTTCTGCAGTCTCCCTCCGGGCTCGTTCTGTTAGATGCTTTTGAATGTAGAATAGCTAAAAAAATGGAAAAAATGATGAAGTAGAAGAGCTGAGAAGATTTCAAAGGATTGCTAGAGAAGATAAGGTAAAATATTATAATGAAATGTGCAAAGACCTGAAGTTAGAAAACCAAAAGGGAAGAAAACACGCAGCATTTCTCAAGCTGAAAGAACTGAAGAAAAATTCAAGCCTCAAGTTGCAATATTGAAGGATTCTATGGGTAAATTATTGAACGACGGAGGAAGCATCAAAAGAAGAAGGAGTACACAGAGTCACTATACCAAAAAGAATTGGATGACATTCAACCATTTCAGGAGGTAACATATTATCAAGAACCAATGGTACTGAGGGAAGAAATCCAAGCTACACTGAAGGCATTGGTGAAAAATAAGGCTCCAGGAATTGATGAATATGTACTGAGACGTTTCAACAAATGGACGCAGCACAAGAGGTGCTCACTCATCTATGTCAAAAAACATGGAAGACAGCTACCTGGCCAGCCCTCTGGAGGAAATACATACTTGTGCCCACTACAAAGAAAAGCGATCCAACAGAATGTGGAAATTAATATCATTAATATCACACGCAAGTAAAATTTTACTGAAGACAATTCAAAAA